TATATATATATATATATATATATATATATATATATATATATATATATATATATATATATATATATATATATATGCATACACACACGCATTCATAACTATTTAGGCTGACTAATAGAATAACGAAAGTAAGTGAAATATGTTAATCATCTTCAACAATGTAATTTCCAAATTCGTGATGGCGCATAAAATATCCGTTCTTTTTATGTTTTTTATAATATTCCATTTTTAATATTATAATGTAATTTGTCAATCCGTTGGAATAACCAGCAGGTTAAGTTCAAAATTAAAAAAATTCATCAAAATTAGTATATATGTAAGGGTACGTTTTTTCGAAAACATCACTCGAGTGCACCCGCTGCATTGGAGTGAGAAAGATACGAGAGTGAAATAAAGAGAGAGGAAGATACCCAAGTAATGTTTCCGAACCCTACATACGATATATGTAGACTCAGATATATTTTCATCACTGAAATATATATTACCTGGAACGCGCACTGCTTTTTGAAGCGTGCGGGATGAGAGAGATTCCTTATTTCCTCTCTTATCCTTGTCTGGTTCATAATATAGTCAAGAGTGAGGAGAATGTGATACAAGTTGAAAGTTAGAGATAATTGGCCATATTTTGAACCCTCTTTTATCGATAAAAGTGTCTTGAATATAATTTCTCAACCAATCAAGTAGTTCCTAATTCTAAATTCACAATTCTGCGCATAATATGCATAAAATGTCTAAATGTGCGCAGAAAATGCAGAAAATATGCAGAAAGTGTAGGAAACCCCTGAGACACGCCCACTCTAACCTAAAATAACCTTCTTTCCTTTAATATATAGTTTCAGGCAGCTTGCACTTTGCCTTAATACTCCACGATTTGAAAAGAAATATTGTGCACCATCGAAATGGTACAACTTCGCCAAAAAATAAATAGTTTAAAAAGAATCCTAGGGACATGTACGTACCCCAGACCATCGAATCAAGCCTTCTAAAATAACCTACCCAGCCAGAAATGAAAAGTCGAATCGACGTCGACTTTTAATTTCTGTCTAGGTATAATCCTACTCGCTGCTCTTGAATCAGTTTCATTGGCCGCGTTCAGTAGAACAAGTAATCAGTAAGCGCTCAGGGAGCTCTTGTATATGATTTGGCATATTCTTTTAGATCTCCAACTATACTCCAATCAGATGCAAGAGTTCACTGAGCGCTTACTGATCACTTGTTCTACTGAACGCGGCCATTAATACATCTGTATATATATGTAGATATAAAGAAATTAAAAAATGAAATACAGCGATGAACTAGATTCACAATTTCATGTTTTTCATGATTATGGACAAATATTTATGCTTTGTCTTATATACAAAACAGTTATAACCAACCAATCAGAATGTTTTATTCATTGATTACTTTATTCTGATTGATTGTCGTAATTATTTACAACCATTTACGACCACACTTACGCAATTGTAGAATAGCTCTAAAAGAAGTTTTATGCAGGATTCACATCGCATCCGATGTCCGACGTACGGCATCTGATATCCAATAAAAGAATAGTTTTCCAATGGAGAATTGAATCCTCTATTAGAAAGCTGTTCTCCTATTGGACGCGGTGTGAATCCTGCATTATTCAGCAGAAAATCTCATTTAGTTATCTGCGCAGATTACTCGAGTTTTCTGCACATAAAATTTCACGCATAAAATGTGAGGTATTAGGGTGCTATTTCACGTGTCGTACGACAAGCTTTTTGGATATGTTCATTGGTTGACGAACAGAGAACCTAGAAATACTCTATTCGCCAACCAATAAACGTATCCGAAAAGCTTGTCGTACGACACGTGAAATATCAGCCTTATGCGTACCCAACTCTCGACGGGATACAGTTCTTGGATAAGGTACAGTTCTGTAAATAATTCTATTCAGTGCTGTAAGTGCTTCAGAGTGGCGAATGGATCAATCACATTGCTTTATTTAACGTTTTAAAATATTTTTAGTGTTAAATGAACCCTCCTTCTTGATAGTCAATAATATAGAGTGAGAAAGCACTAGGGGCAAATCAACTTTCTCACTTTGTTTTAAACTGCCAACTTCCGGCTTCACTTTGCAGACAGAATGCTTGGTCTATGTATATTCGTCATTGATGGCAATGACTTATATACATAGCTTATGGCTTCTGCACACAGGACGCGGTAATGCTTGCCGTGCGGCGGAAGTCCGCGCGACAGCCAATCAATATGTTGTTTTTCCGTAAGGATTAGAAGGTTATTACGGAAAGCAGCATATTGATTGGCTGTCGCGCGAACTTCTGCCGCGCGGCAAGCATTACCGCGTCCTGTGTGCAGGAGCCATTAGGTCAAGTTCCACAACATCCGTTTAATTTTAACTACCAGTTAAGTCCCAATAGTGATTGATTAATTCTGATTAACTCTTTTTAATGTCAAATGCAATTGGTCAAGGCCAATGGAATAACCAGCTAGTTTAGTTAACTGGAGGTTGTGGAACTGGGCCTTAAGCTTATGAACGAAAGTTTAAGATATAAAAAAAAATATATTTTTTCTCATTTATTAATATTCACTTATCGACTCATTATTAAGAAAAACAAAATAAAGATGGTTTCTAATTCGGAGATTCAGCTTATGTTTAGAAATCAGCTGACTAAAGCCCATATCAGACTATAGATTGAGATTGAATTGAAAATTGGCCAATCAGAACAAAGTTCACCAAACTTGAGCTTAGTTAATTTTGCTCTGATTGGTTAAATTTCAATTCAATCTCAATCCTAATCTATAGTCTGATACGGGCTTTAGCTTTTGGTTCAGACTGTATTAGACAAAGACAGAGCGCTGTTCGAGACCTACAAGCATGCTCTCTCTCATTCCGCAGCTCAAGCAATGCTGCGAGTTCGGGATATTTTCTAGATGATAGGAGTCCTACTGCACATGCGTGAAATGACGTAGCAGCTCGACGTAAGCAGTTTCCAATGATGGCGTTAGGCACGAGTAGAGGGTTCTTAAGGGACATGCACAAAATATTCGGCTATCTGTCTGTTGTTGTTTGCCCGCGAGTAGTTAGGTTAGATGTAGTGAAATGATACAATAATAAATTAATATAATTAATATAGTTATAATAATTAGTGTAGCTATGTGAAATAATGTGATATTATAATATGTATATATATTATATATTTATAATAAATGAAATGTGATAAAAAAGTGCAATTTTAATATAAAGTGTGATAAAAAAAGTGCAATTATTAAGTTAATTAAAGAAAAAGTGCCGTATTAAAGAAAGAAATGGATCAACAATAGCCCAGATAGCACAAAATCTCCAGAGAATGTTCTGAGACGTTCTTAGAATGTATGAATGTCCTTAGAATGTCTTTAGAACGTCTTTTGAAGATTTGTGCTGTATGGGAGCCTTCGTCATCATATGGCATCCAGGAAAAGAAGAGGAAATGTGCGAAAAGAAAATTCCAATATACATGGTTAAATATGAATATTTTCAAAGATTGGTTGGCTGCAGAAATTACAAAATAAAAAATATATTTATTTTTACTCATGAACAGCATTCTGTTTTTTCCCACAAACTTTCTTTTCTTTCTACAATCCTTTCATATTTTCTTTTAGATAAGGTATTTTACGATACCTTAAAATAGATACGGCGCTGAGGTTACCACAGCGTTTGCTCAATGCGCGTGCGCGAAAATACATCCCGAACTCGCAGCACTGAACTCAAGAGGTAGTGCGCGTTCCAAGTAGTATATATTTCAGTGATTTTCACATTATGCGCATGTGCGCAGTCGCGTGGCGTGATTTTGATCGAATCATTGCTGCGTTTCGAGATTATGTATTCTGTGAACACAAACAATGTCTGCAGTAAATTCTTCTGTTTTTTCTACAATATGCCTGATTGTTACGCAAAAAGCTGCAAAAATAGAAAAATCGCAAAACGAAAAAATAAGATACAAATAAAAAATAAGATACAAATAAAATGGAGATAATGTCACTTTGCCGCCATCTTGATGGTTGATCATACCATTACAATCCTCTTTCCCCTTAAGTTTCAACCCCGCGGAAATATGCTCGTCTTGAAATTTCTACGTATTTCTACGTCCATGTTCTCTTAGAATTGAACTTCTGTTGAATATGTAACATTACATAGAATTTCGTCCACGTCACAAACGCTAATCCGTTTTATTTAATTCTGGTGATCTTATTAGTGAATATATAACATAGTTAAAAGTGTATGTACACATTACAACGAGACTTACGTATATAAAACCGGTGTGCATTCAATAAAACAAAATACAAAACAATGGATGATATAAATATTAAAAGAGAAGCGAGAATACGGAGAATCTTAGAAAATTCAGACAGTCGATTACGCATGATTACATCCAGATGCAATCAGGATGAAGCTAAAAGTAAATATAATCATTTGTACTTGATATGTCTCTTGATGAATGTTTAGTAGTCTCTTTAGTGAACGTATAATTAATAGTTAAATATGTATACATAATATATGTATTTATAAAAAGAGTTGTGTGTTAATAACTGATGTATATTTGATATAAACAGATACAATGAATGAAATGAACGCCAAAAGAGAAGCAAGAAAACGTAAAATCTTAGAGAACTCAGAGAATCGTTTACACAAGATTGGTGCAAGATACGATCTGGATGAAACCAAAGGTAAACTTAATAAATGAATTAAGTAAACTTATATGGAACACACCAAATATAATGTAAGATCTTGAAGATGATTAAAAGATTTTAAGTTTGTATGTAATGGATATACTTTCTAAATATAATCATAATACTTGACTAAATTTACAATACTTGTTAAAACAAATAAAAAATATATTTTGAAGCATTTTGTGTAATTAGGAAAAGTATAATATATATATATATATATATATATATATATATATATTTTTTTTTTTTTTTTCTATAGTGTTATGAAAAGAATATTTTGAATATCTATCATATATATATAAATATATATTAATGTAAATGCTTATGTGGTCATAAAATTCTGTCAAATCAATTTAATATTTATTATTACATATATGTTTATATACAGATTATTTTCAATGTAAATCATTATGCTGTTTTATATAGAAAAAAGAATACTGCTTTGAACATCTAAATATTATGAAAAATCAAATTAGATATGTCTGCTTGTATTATATGTCTGCTTGATAATAGAAAATGTTAATATTTTAATATAATATATGTATAGTGTATCTTGGAAATAAAGTTCTTCCTATCTTTAGATCTATGCTTTTTAAGATATTTTTATAAATATTTTTTGTTTTTAATAGTAATTTTAATGTTAATATTGTCTTAATATTGCATAAATAGATTCTAAGTTTAGTTTAATGAGCTTAAAAATTATTTCAGAGGATAAATCTTTTGTGGAAAGTGACAATTCTAAGTTAAGTTTGGAAGAATGTACTATCAGAAATGGTATATGTAATTTGGAAAATTACAAAAACCCGCAGTATTATACAGGATTTAATGAAGATAAACATGAAAAGTTTCATACAAGATTTAATGAAAATAGATATTATGATGGACAAGATAAAAAATTGTTAAGTAACACCAGTGATGGACATATATATGCCTCAGAAGAAGTATCTTTTGACAGGAAATCTATATCTTATACATATTTATCCCATCATATAAATATCATTATGTTAGCTGTGATTGTCAATATTTTGCTAGTACTAAAACTAGATGATTGGTTTGGGAAGGTAATTTTCTTTAATAATTTGTTAAGATATTTAGTTTGATAATTTATATATAATGTATGTTTAACGTTTACAGACAGTACTCATACCTTACTTGTTACTGATGATGGTGGGACGCTGGTATAACATAGAGAAATTGCGAGATGCAAAGGGTAGCAATTTCATGAATGTAGTTCGTACTGTGATATTTTTGAAAATCAAATCCAATTCCACAGATAAATTAGAAACTTTATTTATATTATGTAAAGTAATAATTAATGATTTTTGTTTGTATATATTCAGTTTCGTTCTAATGCGATATGTTCATACTATTTGTTACTATTGTTATCATGTCTTAACGGATGCATAATTATTCGTAATAATTGGAAAAATTAATTGAGATTATAAATTGCTAATTTTGCACAATATACTCGCTTTTATATATACTATTGGTGATATGAGATCCTTTGATTATTTTGTATAATATATTTAAAATACATTAAAAGATGAACTCACATTCGTGACAACGAACGTGTGTCAATACCAAAATTAAAGTATATTTCCAAAAAAAAATTCATGTATTAAATTTTTTACATTTCATAATTTTATCTGGATGGATATAAATTATATAATCACCATATCGAAAAGGCATTTAAAATTCCGAGAATATATGTAATGTAAAATTTATATGTAACATTAATGTAATATAAAATAGATATTAATAAGATTAAAATTTCATTTATGATGTCATCAATATTTCTCAGAGTACTTTATCTGTTTCTTCTCTATTGATATCAATAATTTTTTACACACACACACACACATACAAAACATATATATTAGAAATTAAATGAAAAAAGTAAACTAATCTAATTCTTATAGATTTGCTATTATATGTGGCTTCTTTTAGTTAAAAAGAAAGTATTGTAAATAAAATAAAGAAAAACTTTTACATTACTGACCTATTTCCTATGATATATATTGAGATCATGACCTGTATTCTGAGTTCTCTTTTAAGGAGAAATGATCCTCTTAAAAATAACTCATAGCCAATCAGAAAGCATATGAGCTACTGTTAGAGGCTCATTTATCGTTAAAAGAGAACTCAGAATACGGGCCTATATCACTATGTAACGTGCAAAAGGTTTTAGCCGTCGCTGATTGTTTACTAAAAAGTTATTAACAAAAAAGTTTGGTAATTATTTAAGAGTAAAAGTACTATTTAGCCATCTCCGATAATCTTGCCTTACATATATCTTACATATATATTATTAAGGACATTATTTTGAGTAATTCAACACAATACAAATTGAGATTGCATATCAAAGGCAAAAGTTTAGGTTAGTTTTTTGGAAAGGGTACAGAGAAGCCTCTCCCCCGCGTATATACGTATATTATTTACCATATTTCAATGTAACATATTTCAATCTATACGTATATTATTTACCATATTTCAATATAAACTGTATGCAAAAATTACGTTCCATTTATAAAACTTTTTAAACTAATTTTTTAACAAACAGTGAGCGATGACCTAAAATCTTTTGCATATTATATACTCAGGGATATAATTTTGATAATATATATTAAGGTCAAGAGAAAGTGGATCCACTAATGTAAAGGTTTATCAAAATAAGTTATCAAATACAATGTATAATCACTATTGTATTATATTCAATTATTTATTATTATTTCAAACTACATGATATCTAAATGTTCATTATTATTTTAAGCATTATATTATCTTAAGCATTCTATTCCTTTTTAATAATAAGTTGGAAATACTCTAGAAATAAGAAAATTTATACTTTTAAAGAAAAAGGAAAAATCATGTCATTTAGAGAATTGATACGCGTAGATACATATGCAATGATAATGAGAAAGGTGGAATGTAATTTTATTACTCTCTGACGTAATCACACGAGTGGCTATCGACTGATCATTCAGTACGAAAACATTCCTCGGAGTGCAACTAACACAACTTCGTGACCTGCAACAGGTGCTGACGAACAATTTACACGCATATAAAATTATCGTGTAATTTTAACGAAATTGTTATCAAAATGATACGTAAAGGTGCATGCCAAATAGCCAGCTCGATACACTCCAACATTAATGCAGAAGTACATGAAATTCCAATGAATGTGCTTATCAGACCGTTTCCTCCAGAAGTAAACGAGGAGAAAGTTCAAAGCTTAATGAACGCATTGATAAATGTCGAAACAGGACATACAGTACCACCTATCGATGTCTTATGGATTAAAGGAACCGAAGGTAATAGAATTTATAAAAATTATTAAATTTGTCAAAATATATATTAATTTTTAAATATGTAGGCCTGCGTAAGCGATTAAATTAAAAAAATCATCAAATATAATCATGCAAAAAAAATGTGAATACTGACCGTTTATATTTAGGTGGCGACTATTATTATTCTTTTGGTGGTTGTCATCGTTATGTTGCTCATCAACGATTAGGTAAAATGTGCATTAAAGCTAAAATAATACAGTCAACATTGACAGATTTACGATGTTACCTGGGAAATTCCACTCCAGATTTGAAATAATTTGGAGCTGGATTATTGACATTTATCATATGACCTATGTATATTTCATATATTATGCACATATGTAAATAAAATATTATAAATAAAAATTCAATATATATATTACTACTATCCATACAGAAATTAATGCAATAAAACTTAAGATAGTTTTTACTAACTTATCACTTGATATTAACATAAATATTATACAAAAAGTTATGTCAATATTGTGACTATAGCAATATATCAAATAAAAAATTATACTTTTTTCCCAATTTTCTCTCAATTTCTTTTCTATCTCCTACATTTACTTTGTAGAAATATCTTGTGAAATGGACAAATATTAGTTATTACAAAAATTTGTTTACATCTTCATCATGTAAAACCGCTATAGATAAATATAGTCTTATAGATAAATATAATTATACTGAAATTTACTTGGATTTAAATGGCTAGTCCTGACAGAGTTATCTAAATAACTTAAAGTTAGAATATTTAGAATGTTATTATTTGTAACAGATAAATAAAATGCATCATATTATGAAATGTACGTTTATTGTACAGTTGAAGTTTAAGGATTTGCTATAATATGTGTCATTCCTAGGAATTTTGTGTAATCAATAAGAACTTAGAGTTAAGTATCACGATTTTTCACTATTAGCGTTTATGTAGACAAGCTATTACAGAGTTGTATTATCAATATTTATTTTACCTAATATATTTATTTTAACCAAGAATTATGAATAAATTGAAATGCTATATAATAGTATTTATATAAAAACATACAAGATACATTATTATTTATTTTACACTGCGTGTGTAATCTTTCATACCCCTTTCACGTCATCCTCCCCTCTTATATTTATCTTATTCCTAATTCCTATATTCTTTGTACATATGTGTACTATTCTATGTATTATACATGTCTATATATTACAATGAAAATGAAATTGCACTTTTCTATCTTCTCTACATTTTTATGGAACATAACACACGATCTGTGTAATTATAATAACTATAATATATGTATGTATTATAGTTATTATTATATAACTACAGTTCGTGTGTTGTTTCATAAGAATATATAGGATTTTTTTTTAGTAAAGGTCGGCATATCTTTTAGGAGCATATAGATTAGATGAAAATGATCCTATATATTATTTTTTTTTAGAGAAACGTTTGAAAAACCTAAGAAACTGTCCAAAAATTAAAAAAAATCTTATCTCAAAGTTGGGGATTAAAAAAATTAGGTATAATTTGTCCCCCAGTTTTATAATTTATGTTTTTATGTTTAATATCAAAAAATATACGAAACCATTTTAACGACTTTCATTTAGTACAAAAATAATACAGATTATCAAAATTTGATAAATAATATAAAGGTTATTTTTAGAAAATGCTTTTTAGATTCTAATTTTGGAGGAGAAAATATATTTCAATAAGGGTGTATAGGAAAATAAATTTATATAACTTTATATAAACTTATAGAGTTATTTTCACCTAATCTATATGTTCCTAAGAGATTTTTTCTACCTTTATTTAAAAAAACACCCTGTATATAAATATTATAATTTATAAATGCATTAATCTCTCTTCTCGGTCATTTTCACTGTGATGTATATTTGGATGTTAGTTTAACATCATTAATACTTTTTGGCTGTCCTAAATATTATATATTAACTAATTATATATTAACTAATTTTCTGAATTACAGAATATCATATCAATCTTCTCTACTCTCTAAAAATTGTCTTTATATACGTAAATAGTATTTTTGTTACGAAAATCCCTAATGTTTTTATCTTCATATTTATCTTCGAAGTTTTTCCTATATAAAGCTTTTCGATTGGCTTCTTTTATAAAATATGGTTTTTGATTCCTAATATTTCTTATATTAGCCGTGGACGAATTAACTATGTCCTCGACAGAGTGAGATCGATTCGATTGACTTGTAGACTTATTATCTCGTAAATGAATGGGTATGATAGATTGTTGTAAATGTAGCAGTTGCGTGTTTGTCACTTCACAGTCAATTTGCATCATAGTTACATGATCAGGTGGTGTCGAAAACGTACCTGTAAAAGATATTCTCATAATATGCGAAAAATCTGGTATCTTGGAGAAGATATTCACTCAAATTTCATAAAAAAAAATTCTTTAAAAACTTAAAAACTTCTTGATTTTTTTAAATGTAGAACATTTTTCTAAAAATTCCAGTTTTATTAGATTTTTTCATAGAATAGATATTCTATGTATGCAATATAACGTATAACTAATTATTGTTTTTCATACGCGATTGTACATCTAATATTACCTTTTATAGATACAGCGGGTAGAATTAACGACATTTTAGGTCTAGCTGTATCGTTTGTTCTGGAAGCTGGTAAGAGTAAATGCTTGCCAGTAAACCAGACAACATAAAAAGTATCGTCTCTTCTTCCCAAAGCTTCAAACAAAGAAGCATGCTCACTCAATATTGGTGAGAAAACTTGAACTGCGTTACTCGTTGCAGTAGGAACATCGATCATTTTGTGCATAGGTTTTATTTTTTTATCCTGTGATAAATATAGTTTTCTCCTTGTTTTTCCTTCTAATGGCAAGCTGGACAATAAGAATTTCGGTCTTGCCGATGTAGTCCAATTATCTCGATCAGATTCACCATCGATCCATCGTCTCAACTCGCTATCTAAGCGTATTGACTCACTTTGATTAATATTCGGACATACCGGTTGATATACGGGTATGTTTTTATTGAAACTTTCTTCAATTTGATCTCTTATATCATTATTGTTTTCATCTACTCCTGTCCAAAGCAATGTTCGACTATGTTTTATCTCATCAATATCTGGCACAGATATTGATGCTTTATTCAATAAATTTTTTAAATTTATATTCCATGAAAGAATCCTTGAAACAGAAGAGCATGCTTTACTTTTATATTTGTGGAATACATACACAATAAACTGTTTCACTTGAGAATCCAAAATTTTTTTAGAATGTAAAAAAATTTTTTAAAGAAATTATGTGTAAGAACGCGTGTGGTATTAATGACGTTTTGATTCACATTAGTTGAAAATTAGCACAAATATAAACAATAAAGAAGCACTTACCCTAAAGTATTAATATTGACAGATACCATGCAAAGTATGACAAAAAGAGCAATGCCCTTCCGATTACGATTTAAAATTCCAACTTTTCTTTTATTAGATATAATGCCATCTTCTAAGTTTATCAGCTTCTGCTTTAGTAAGTTGTTTTCCTAATACAAAAATTATCAAAATATATAATATATTTTGAAGAATAACTGAGACTCGCCTTTAAAGATGTCTAAAAGAAATGTTAAAACGATAGATTAATTACCATTTTTAGATTCTCATTTTCTTCCTTCAATTCAGATAAACGCTTTTCCAAGGAATGCACGTATTCCTTCTTCTTCTTTCGTGAGAGACAAGCGGATTCTCTATTTTTTATCATTCTTTGTTGCCTTTTTAATGCTTGTATGGATTCACATTCTATTTTGCTTCCTGGTGAATTTAATGTATCAGTTTTCTCTTTTACTTTTATTAATGAAGCACAATCAGTTTCATTTTTTTTGCGCATTATAAATGGTGTGCAATTTATCGGTTCACTCTTTAAGAGAATATCGTCAAATGAGATAGGTTCATTTTTTAAGACAATATCCTCAAATGTTATAGGTTCGCTTTTTAAGACAATATCGTCTAATGATATAGGTTCACTTTTTATATAGACAGGGGTCTTCATCAACGAATTAACTAAATTTTCGTGGAAAAAGTTTGGTATAGCATCGAATATTTCTATATTTTGTGATAATTGAAGTGCTGTCTTTGTTTTTGTATCAGTTGTGTCTATATTTACAGAATCCAATGTACTAATTTGACCAGTAGTTGACAAAGATTGTGCTTTTGAAGCATGCAATTTTTGTTGTTGCAAATCTGCGTTTTGTACGAACGCAGTACCATCTGGTGTGCGAAGAATAATAGTATTTTGGAGTTTATCTGTAAACATATGTGTAGCTGTATCCACACAATGTATTCAAATGTATAAATAATAACTATATTATCTTTCTGTACAACAATATATTTTTATATTTTTCATAAAAACCTTTTGTATTTGTGAGTTGCGTATGAACATCTTTAATAAAACCTGCTTTTTGTCGAATAATTTTGTCCTTATGGTTTATAATTCGTTTGTTAGCAGGTAAAATGTTTATTGGCTTTGTTAGGTTCGGTACATCGAGAAACGATTGAGACGATTGTACAGATAAAGATTGAGGTGAAGTTGGTGGAGTTTGTAGAATGAGCTAGAAACAAAAAGTTATAAATATAATGTAAACTTTTTTGGTGTTATATATTGCGATATATATAATAATTTTCAATTACGTTTATTTTCAACTTAAAAGAAAATAAACTCATATTAACATATTCATGGTCACTAATATAGTACTATGCTTTATGTACTACATCAGCAGCTGCAAATGTATTAAAATCTTTTAAACTTGTGCACTTCTTGTGCATAAGATTTAACGTTATAAAAATAATTTTTTTATAATATTAATTGTGTCTCATTGGGTGACTATCAATGTCAGCCAATGTAATATGTGTGTGAAACAGTGTAAAAAACCATATTTATAATTTTTGCATTCTTTATTTTATCATTATACTTTATATTTTTCATACTTGTTTGATTTTTTTAAAAATTGCATAATATACCTTATCCATATTTTGCATTGGAGAACATTTTGATACTTCAGATTTCCAATCTGAAGCAGTAGAATCTGAAGAGTCATTAAAATTATCAGTTAATGTTAAGAATTGTGAGTACGGACTCTCTATTTTAATTTTATCTTTCATTCCATTCACTTTGCTTAATTCTGTAAATTTCAGAAATCATATACATAAGAATAAGTCATTTTCAAGAGATTATAATTTGATAGATACCTGAATTGTCTATAGAACAAGATTGCAGTTCGTTAAAAGCTAATAAGAATGAATCAAGTGAAACCTGATTCTTGCCTTCTAACATTTTGTCGAATATTATTTCTTCTTTTTCTTCCGCAATAGATATATCAGATATTTCTTGTTTAATGCTTGTTAATTCTTCTTCGTTAAGAGAATGAAATTCAAGTTCTGTAAAAAAATAATCCAGTAATTAATTATATTTAATACATACTTTATAAGATAAAACAAATTTTTTCATTGCATGATATAAATGTACATCAGTGTGACAATAAATAAAATTGTCATTATTTCATAATTTGTATAAAACAAAGGAGCTAATATTGGCTTGAAAGTATGGTGTTATAATTCCCTCAATTGCCACAAACCAAAAGAATTATAGAAACACAGTTTCCTAATCTAACATAACCTATAGAAGAATACAAATTAACCTAACTATGATTAACCTATCTTTTATTGTTTTTCAAACAATATACAATATTAATTTTAAAAAAATTTTATTTAAAGTATCAAAAAAGAAGAATAAAAATATAGAATAAAATATTTTTTTCAATAAAATAGTCTTTACACATACATAAGTACATGTATATGTTTGGTGTACCTTATCATAAAGATATTTGAATATGTATATAAATTGTGTACATATAATTATATTCATAGTACCTCGATGAGTAAGATTCGAAAATACTTCGTCGCCCCAAGAATCAAGACTCATTAATATTTCTTCGTTGTTAATACCGCTTGATGAGAACATCATTGAGCAAAACGAACGCCTTTATGATGGGAAGTTTAAAGGAAATTTAATCAGCGATATATTGATTGCTACGTATATTGTAGCGAAAATTAAAAAAAAACATAATATACAAATATACAAATATAAACTAATATACTTGCTTGCAATAAAAAAGTCTGCTAAGACAAGTTTGAAGGCCGGAAATGTTTATTTGTAAATGCACTTTCTGCACTTAAAGTAAAATAAGTGGAGAGTAAAAAGTGTAAATCTGTTTGCGTGTCGTTAAGGTCGTTAAGGTTGTTCTACATTAATTGCAAGCCGTTCACAAGCAGACGCAATTTTTATTGCGACAGCCAATCAGAAGCACCAATGGTGCTATTGACGCTTCTGATTGGCTGTTGCAACAAGAGTTGCAATCGACTTGCAACTAATAGCATGTTCGACTGACTCTGGGTTAACCCACTCTAGGTTATTCAGCCTACGTTTATTGGTCGAACAAGTACTTATAAGCTTTATAACTTATAGCTTTATAATTTAGACCAATAAACGTATGGTTTGTTCGCGTCGCATGCCTCAACGTGCTCCTACTCGCTCCAACGCACTTTGATTGGTTTACGTTGTCACGTCCTACCGACCAGGCTGACGGCCAGTAACAATTTTTTGTCCAAACACCCCTTTACCTGAGGCACTCCAGGTACGAAACCTCCTCTTCCCAAAGGAAGGCACCTCAGATAGCGTCACTACCATTCAGGCTCCCTCCCCCCTAAAAGGCGGGATTATAGGAGTTTAGCAAGAATAGAGTAGTGACCGGCGTGGCAGTCAGGCTAGTCGAGTGTCGGATCGGGAGCTAAAAGATACTCCTCACCTCCAACCCCCAAACTTCTCTAATTCTAGACCTTAGTTCCTTCTAATTCTTAAACACCTAACTCTAAGTTACTTCAACATTCCTAAATATTTACAAACCTTTGTTCTAATGCAAAATCCTTTAGTTTGTTAAATAATTTACCTTAGTTATTTTGTAACTTCCATAACTCTAGCTACACTTAAGATATCTTCGTAAGCATATTATATACCATGTATTACATAATACATACATATATATATATATATATATATATATATATATATATATATATATATATCCTGTAGTAACTCTATTTCTACTCCCTCCCATCCGAACATCCTTACATGGCACACTTCCTCCTACATCTAAGCGAAATCACGATATGCGGTATTTCTCCCCCCCCCCCCCCCC